AAACAGTCCTGCAGGGTGCCTTCAGTCTCTGGGGTCCAGAGTTTAATTTGTTTGGTGACAGGGTTTGTTTGTTTCAGTCTTTGTCTGTAAGCTGGATACAGGAACAAAGAAATGTGGTCTGAGTGTCCAAGGTGGGGGTGGGGTGCAGCCCTTTGAGCACCACGTATGTTACTGTAAGCATGATCTAGAGTCTTCTTGCCCCGGGTGGGAATGTTCACATGTTGGTAATATTTGGGAAGAACAGTCCATAAATTGCACTGGTTAAAGTCACTTGCAGCAATAAATACAGCATCGGGGTTAGGGCTAGTGCGCTGATAACATCATAGGGTTTACTGAGAGCCGCAGAGGCATTAGCTCTTGGGCTAACATACACAGCCGTCAGAAACACAGCACTATGCTCTCTTGCTAGATAATATTTTTATTTCAGCAATAAAAACTCTACTTCTGGCGAACAGTGCTTATAAACAGTCCGTACATCTCCACACCACGGGTTATTTATAAACATGCACACACCGCCCCCTTTTACCTTCCCTGAAGCAGCAGTGCGGTCTCCTCGATGTACAGAGTCTCTAGCTGAATCATAGAATCTGGGACTCTGTCAGAAAGCCAGGTCTCAGTGAGAATTAGAGCACAGCATTCTCTGTGCTATAATCCTATAAGCTCATTTGTTTTCCAGAGACAAACTGGACGAGCTAAGGGCTATGCAAAAAAAGTGTTTTAGTATAACCAGCAGAAGGCTAAAAATGGCTGAACTGAATTTGATTGCATGTCTACTACACTATAAGAGTTATTTAGGTTAATATTGTTGTAGTAAGCACTCTCTTTTTGGTGTTGCACTTTGTAGACAGTCCCTGCACACTGGTCACACAGCTGCTGCAGAGACCAATGTTACTTTTCCACTGAATGTATATTTGTAGGTAAAGCTCATATGGCAGCTTGTTTTGATGAAAATTGGGCTGTAGCTCGCTTTCTGCCTTACTGTTGGAAAGAAGTGCCATTTGTGTTTTAATAATGTTTGGCTATGACTTAATGATCTGAGAAACTCATTGTAACTTCACTGTAGTCCAGCTTCCAAGGCTAATACAACTTAATTCAGTACATTAGCATCTTTGTTGGCAAATTTGTTTAGCTGTAAAATAGGCCACAGTTATACTATCTCTCTCTATGCTGTCGGTATTAAGTTATTAATCACTCTGGGTTTAACTACCATCCCAGCAAAACACAGAAATATCCAATCAGTTGTGTGATTTGCTTGATGATCAATCACATAAGCATTTGTCCAAATACTGGTTGTTGATTAGCAGATTATTACGACTGCCAACTTATGTTTCTGTTTGAGATCAAGCCACCTCAGTTTTTTCCAGCATAGTAGTCAGTGCCGTTTTTTGCATTCATTCAGATTTTTTTTTCTCCATTCATTCAGCTTAAGGTGCTCTGCAAAGTGTTGATATGGTAGGGAAAACATTTGTAATGATGTTAACAAATAAAAACAAGGCACAAGCACTTTCCAACACATGGTCTTGAAATACAACAATCTTGCTTTGCTCAAGACCAGGTAAAAAAAAGTGGTTGATTCCGAGACCAAGACCTTCAAAAAGTGGTTTTGAGACATCTCAAGTACTACAACAGAATACAAGGTTTACACTCTATTGTGTTTAATACTTGTTGCTTCAAGCAGACATGTCACAGTGGCAATGAAGAGCACACTGTGCAGGAAAAAAATTAAATAAATAAAAACTGAGCTGCAAACACCACAATGGAAATACAAAACAGCAGACTAGTGGTTTTCAAATTGCCATTTGTGTGAACCTTCTAGTTTATAGATGTTTAACTGATCATTAATAATAGTGGCAGCCCCTGATTGGGGATCAAAGACCATCTTTATTATCCCTAAATGTTTTTGTTGAGATTCTTTGAAAAACATTGCAGGCAAAACTGGACAGACTATGGGATTAGTGACCCCCCCTCACCCTCCCACCCCCCCAAAAACATGTGATGCCAACAAAATGCATCAAAACTTCAAGAAGTTTTGATTGCTTTTTAAATTACTGCATAAACAAAAATTAGTCAAGACAAAAGGGAAGCAGGAGGAGAGGGATGGACAAAAGCTGCCTGCCATTCTAGTAGTCTTGTAGGAAGTGAAGTAATTACCGTAAGAAGGAAAAACCATCCAACCTGTTTATATCCTCTTCCCCCAGTAAGTGCTTAGAGAGGGGAGAATAACTGCCAGGGGAAACTGGGGGGAGACCAGACTTGTACTCCAGAGTGCCACTGTTGATGGGGGAAGAGATGTGATTTTCCATGGCTGGAGAGAAAGCTGTGGAGAAAAAATGAGAGAGTAAAGACAGAGTGGCAGTTACTAGTGATGGCCATCTGACACCAAGGCCTCATTCGAGCTGGGAGAGGGATCGTCCACAAGCCACTGCTTCGAGGCTTGTATTGTTGCCGAAAAGACACATGACTGATGACGTCCAACGCAGAAACGGCTGGCCTGAGTGACTCCCGTGACCGGTTCAAACGTCGATACAGTGTCACGACGTGAGATCTCGCTGCGCGCCTCAGCAGGTGCGTAGGTGTACTATAAAGCCACCCAAGATGATGCACAACATGTGGGTTTGTCAGTGTAGTAGGTGTGTGTGTGTAGCTGCTGTCGGTATGATCATTGCTGCTGGTGTGTGATCACCATGGAGCCAGCTAGGAATAAAAATGATTGATTCTCCATCCCTTGTATTTATTCACACCCTGTCCTAGTTACATACGCACATATTACCATCCTAGCACATCATCTGTTTCCCCAACACGCCTTCTCCCACCTACTACACTACATATGTTCATAGACTCGACCGACTGACCAATCAATCTTTACAAACGTTTTCATATCATTTACACAAAGCCTAGTTACACCCATCAGCTGGTTATCCTTTGACGGACTGCTGTTTCCTGCGGTAAACCGTACTCATTTTCTGTTTTCTGTATTTGCACTGCATTGTGCTTGCTTCCAGATTGTTTAGGAATTAAACTCACTATTTTCTAGGTTCATCTGAATTTTTGAGTGACAACATACGCTTGCACCACTTAAAGCACTTGTTTTGCAGAAGTTCTTGCTAACTACCAAATTTAACTTGCTACTTTAGGTCGGCTAGTTTAGAAGCTAGCTAAGCTAGTAGCTTAATCGAGAGCAATGGCTTCCCCCTCTTCCTCTCCTGCGAGGCTCACAGACTTAGAAGCGCGGCTCCACACCATGGAGAATAGGCCAGCTAGCTATGCCCAGGTAGCCGGTGTGGAGCCTCCTAGGCGTAGCTTAGCCCAAGATAGCCGCCCCCACAGATTCCCGAGCAGCCGGGATCTCAGACAGGTGGCTGGGTGACAGTTCGCAAGAGTTGTAGCTCCAAACGAATGTCCACAAGGCATCACCTGTCTGTTCACGTTTCAAAGAGAGTTAGCTTGGGGGAAAATAGCTGCCCGAGTCAATGCATACGTTTACATTATAATCATACAGTGTTCGGTGTAAGTAATTACTAAATAATGTTAGTATTGTTATTATTTGTCACTTGTAAAGTAAGGAATGGTTCTTAATTCTTCAATAATTTAATGAGTAACTTCAGTAATTGCATAAAATACCAATTTTTGTTCGAATTAAAAGTGCAGTTTTATGTCCACCCTTTCTTAAAATTCCTATTGTGGTTGATATGGGATTTGTAAAGTAATGATTAATAAATAATCCAGTAGGTTTTATGGAGAGTAATTATTACATTAATCAAAATACTTTTTTTAAGATTTACCCAACACTGATGTAATAATATAAGAATTGAATTTTAATTTTCATGTAGGTGCATTGATGGGAATATGTGTGCCATCAATGCATCCAACCACATTTGGAAATCCTGAAGTGGATTCTAATTATTAGTTTATTTCCAGAGGTCACAGCAAGATGTTATTAACTGATCATCACTTTTCAGATTAGCCTTACTGAAACGAATTCAATACCACTAACCTGCAATCCTGTGAAACTCCTCTTTAATGGCTCTGAGGGGTTTGTGCCCAGGAAACACAACAAAAATTCACAGAAAGCGCTTGAGGGTGAGGCACACTTTCCGAACTATTCTACATACTGTGGCCTTACTAATGGGCTCTGCATCCCCGATGCAAACTGCCATTTGCAACAAATCGTAACGCAACACAAAGCAGCTGCTCGGATGTAAGAGCACGGCCACAATGGGTGATGTGTCTGATGTATGGGTGGATAAGATTATTGATATATGTTATGGACTCTCTAGAAAAACGGTACCGCTCAAATAAAAATACATGGGGATATGACAAAAAAATCAACTCGTGGCCTCAAAATCCTCTCCCGACGTAAATGCAATTCCCTGAAAATTAATACAGCGTCCTCATCTACAGGATCCTCTATGAATGGACACGCCATTTTGGTCTCTGCATGACGGAAACGTGTGCAATCTATGAATGCACTGAAGGATTAAATGAGGTATTAAACACCTTTCACTTTAAAAAAGGGCGGAGACCCGGAGGAAACTCTGAGTTTCCCGAACAAAACCTGCTC